CGCGGACCTCCCTCAGACACGAGAGGGTCGCGGAAACTGACGCGTGGGGTGCTCTGGCGACCGAAGGCACTATCGTTGGGCCGCAGGTCCGGCTGGCCGGGGGACTCCGGGGGTGGCTCAGGGGCGCTGCGGACCCCCAGCTCGGGCATGGAATGGCGGTGGGGGGCTCCTCTCAGAAAGCGGGAGGGTTCCTCGGAGCCTGCAGCTGGAAAGGGAGCGATGAAGTGACTCCCCTGTATCTACCCCCTCCAGTCCCCGCCCACATGCCGGTTCCTGTGGGGAGGCCTGTGGAAGAGCCTTCTCCTTTCCCCCACGAAGACTGGGGAAGTGGGAGCAGGGGTCGCGGACTGGCAGGGAGATGAGGAGTCCGGGAAGTATGAGGCCTGGAGCAGGCTCTGGGTGGAGAGACGGTTGGAAGTAACGCAGAAGGAGCAAGACAGGATTGGTGTGGGGGGCGTGGCCTAGGGTGGAAGGGGCGTGATGTAGGCTGGAGTAGATTTAGTTTGTGATAGAATGGGGGCGGGGCCTGAGTGCAAAGACAGGAAAGGTGGAGGAACTTGGACTCAAGCAGGGACAAGTCGAGGTAGGGACGGGCCCTGTACAGAAGCAGGGCGGAACCAGGGTTCACGAGGGGGGTGTAGTTTGGGCTGGAGACTAGGCCTCGAATGGTGTGGGGAAGGAGGTTGGGCTGAGCTGCAGGCGGGGCCAGGGATGCTTCAGGTGGAGGACCTCGGCGAGTCAAGGGGAAGGACCAGAGTTGGGCGGGCGGCAGGGCTGTGGCTGGGCATGGCTCAAGGGTTCGCTCACCAGGCGCTGACTTGGCGCAGGTGCCTTTGATGGCGGTCTCGGACGTCCCCTCGGCAGCAGAGAAAGAGTCCGTAGAGGCTGCGAGCGGTGCGGTGACCATGCCCGCGCTGCAGCTGCGACGGCCAGGCCCCGGAGCAGTGGGTTCAGACCCAAGGCTGCAGGCTCGCGAGCAGAAGATTAGGCCACGGCGTGGCAGGAAGGGGCGGCCCAGCAGGGCACGCCCGCAGCGACTACAGCAGAAGCAGCGGTCTGAGGCATGCCAATGCTGGCCCTCGTAAGCCATCTGGCCCTGGTCCAGACCTGTGGGAACCGACATAAGGAGGAAAACTGAGGCAGAAGCCCCAGACATACCCCCACCCCTCCAGAATGGGGCCCTTCTCCGGAGAAAGCAGGAAACTCGAGGTTTGGTCCTCACCCCATAGTTCCTCATCCTCCTCCTCTCCTGGAAACTGGCTGGCAAATGCTTCCCTTCCCCGGCCCCTTTCTTTTCCAGGGTTCCCCCTTCCGGAGTGCGGGTGGGCATTGGACTAAGATGTGGGCCAGGCTTAGATATTAAGGGATAGCTTCAGGTGGAAAGAGAGTGGAAGGCTGAACATGAAGAAAAGGTCTGGGTGGTGGGGGCAGAGCTTAGAAGGTAGATTGTGGCCTTGATGGGAAAAGAGTGGGTCTTAGAGGGTAGGGTATAGCTAGAAGGTATAAGGGAACCTAGACTGATGGAGCAGTTGGAGAGAATAGGGCATAGCTTAAGGTAGTGGAGGCTAGGCTTCGAGGGTAGCCCTGGGGGCTGGGAATTAGAGGGAACTCTGGAGGTGGGTCTAGATGTGTAGTGGTGGCCTAGTGTTGTATAGGTGAGGTTTGGAAAGTACAGCATAGCTGGGGATGCTGGGTGTGGGACTTGCAGGGAAGGGTACAGGCCTATGGTGCTGGAACTCTACTTAAATTATGGGGTATAATGGGGAATAGGGCCTGGAGGACAGGGGGAATCCTGGTAGGGTGGGGCTGCAGCCCAAATGTCTATCCATCCTGCTGTCCAGTCCCATCATGTTCACCCACCGATGTGCTCCCCACAGCCATCACAGTACTCCGCGTGGCGGGCCTCATAGCAGGCACAGCAGTGGGGGCGGCTCTGACGCATCACGTAGCGCTGCCCTGCCAGTGAAGCTTCACATTCGAAGCAGCAGAAGTGGCCCATGTGCCAGTGCTGGCCCTCAGCCTCTGTGCACTCAGGGGAGAAGATGATCTGGAGGGCACAGGCCATAAGCAGCTATCAGAAGGGCCTGCTCCCGGCCCTGCCCGCCCTCCAGTCCCACCTCTGGGCAGGGAGCCACAAACCTCATCACAGGCTTGGCAGCGCGGGCGCAGGCATTCAGCATGATGGCGCCCACAGTAGACCTTGCCAGCATGATAGAAGTAGATGAGGTCAACGAGCAGTTCCCGGCACGTGGTACACACGAAGCACTGTGGGTGCCAGCAGGTGCCCAGGCCTGCGCGGCTGGCAAACACTGCAATGTCCCCACCTCCGATCTGCTTCCCACACTGCCAAGTGCCAGACAGACACCGTCACCATTGCCAAGATAGTAAGATGGATGGGGTCAGCCAAGGTATGTCACACTTGGGCCTTCTTCATGGTGAACCTTTGTGACTTGCAACACCCACGGGGTAACTTTAAGACAGGCTCTGACTATACCCGATGGTGGGGAGGGGGCTTAGAGACTGACTCCACTCATAGGAGAAACCATACAGATAGGCCCTACCTGTTGTGGGTGGCCTTGCAGGCAAGCCTCCCCCATAGTGGGGTGAGGAAGACATACAGACAAGCCAGCCCCAGTGGGGGAACCATAGAGATAGTCTCCACTCACCGGGACCTTAGCAACACACCTCAATTAACAGTAGGATCTGGGCTGTCCAGTTAGCTCAGTTGGTTATAACACGGTGTTATAAAACCAAGTTCAAGGGTTTGGATCCCGGGCCAGCCACCAAAAACAAAGCAAAACAAAAAAACCAGTAGGATCTAAGGACAGGCCCCACCCACCAGGGAGGGCTTTGGAGACAAATTCCACCCACCACAGGGCTCGGGAGACAGACCCTACCACTGTGAGCCAGTTCTTAAGGACAAGTCCTGACCACAAGAGGACCAGAGAGACAGCCTGCGCTCCAAGTCCACTGCATAAAGAGGAGGAGACCATAGAGAAGGTACACTAGAGCCTCCTTAGAGACAAACCACTCCTAATGGTGGGATCTGAGGAGCAGTCCCATCCACCAGGGGCCTCTAGAGACACACCCCGTCCATCGGGGGTCCTTAGAGACAGTCCCCACCTAACACTGAGATGTGAGGAACAGACCTTGTCCACCAGAGGGAACCCTAGAGAAAGTCCATTGATATTAAGTAGCCTGAGAGATGGGCCCTGCACCCCAGGGCTTGGAGCAAAGTCACTGTTCCCTGGAAGAGGCCCTCACCTCCTCACAGATGGCCCCAGTGATGGTCACTGGGAAGATGCGCACGGTGCCACGCCCCAGATTCTCCCGCTTTCGCTGCTGGCTGAAGGCTCTGAGCTCTTTCTTCTCCTCTTCCGTCAGTGCCGTGCAGTACTGTGCCTGGGGGAGGTAGGGGTCTTCCGGGCTCCTCCCCTGATACCTGCCCCTGCCCCTGCCCCACTTCCAGACTTTATCTATGCTCAAAAATTCCACTTCTAAGGGCCGGCCTATCGCGCACTTGGGAGACTGTGGTGCTGATAACACCAAGGCCACGGGTTCGGATCCTATATAGGGACGGCCAGTTAGCTCACTTGGGAGAGCGTGGTGCTGACAACACCAAGTCAAGGGTTAAGGTCCCCTTACCAGTCATCTTTTTTTAAAAAAAGAAATTTGACTTCTAGGCCTTTGTAGAGATGGTGCCTCCTGCTTGAAATATCTACCCCTTACTTCTTTCAAGGCCCAGCTGTGGTTTTGCCAAGGAATGGCCCCTGATGGCCTCTGCCTGTCCAGACCCCTCACCTCAGATCAGCTCACCTTTCCTCCTCTGCCCCTGCCCCTTTCTTTCCAGCTGCCCTGCATTTGCCCAAGCTGTGCCCCATGCCTGATAGGCCCTTCCTGTCTTCTCTCTCTCACCTCACTGTCATGTGGGGGTAGCTGATGCAGCAGCTGCTTGATCCTGTATTTCTCCCCAGGACTGTTGACATAGGGGACCTTGTCCTCTGGAAGGCAGCTGAAAAACTGGTATACCTGGGAGGACATGGGGAGAAAACAAATGAGATTAGGGGTGAGTTGGGATGCAGTGAGATGGTGGGTCCCTACTTCCTTGAGAAAATTAAAGTCATCAGAAGGGAACTTCCCCTGACTACTCCACCACCTCTCCTTCTTAAGGTCTGGATCATTTCCCTGAGCTCCCAAACACGCTAAGAATTCCCTCACGTCTTAACCCCACTTCCCCCTCTGGCTGACACTCCACTTTTCTCCTTCCCTTTACAGCAAAATTCCTCAAAAGAGTTGTAAGCACCCATGCACACTCCACTTTCTCTCTTCCCATTCTCTCTTGACTCTACTCCAGTCAGGCTTCAGCTCCTACCTGCCTCCAAAGCGATCAAGGTCATCGATGATGTCTGCATTGTTAAAATCATCGTTCAGGTCTCAGTCCTCATTGGACTTGACCCATCAGTAGGACTGGATCCTGCTGATCACTCCCTCTTCCTGGAAACGCCTTCTTTCCTTGGTTTCCAGAATACCATATGGTCCTGGTTTTCCTCCTACCTTATTGGCTCTTCCTTCTATGTCCCTCTTTTGGTTCCTCCCCAACTAGCTGACCCCTAAATGTGGGAGGGTCCTAGGGCTCAGTCTTTGGTCCTCTTGCTTCTGTCTACATTCACTCCCTTGAGAACTGCATCCAACCCCATGACTGTAAATATCATTTATTGGCTAATGTGTTGCAAATACATATCTCCAGCCCTGTGACCTCTTCCTTAAGTTCCAGGCAATGTAGCCATTTAGATGTGCAACAGGCATCTCAAACTCCACATGGCCAAAACTTAGGCTCTTACCTCTCAAACTGCCCCTGCCTTGGCCTTTCCCATACCAGTTAACCTGCCCATCCTTGGGGTCATCTTTTACTCCTCTCTCTCTCGCCCCCACAAGCAAATCCTCTCAGTTCTACTTTAAAAATATGTCCAGAGGGCCGGCCTGGTGGTGCACTGCGCTAGTGCGCCGCTTGGGAAGCGCGGCGGCGCTCCCGCCGAGGGTTCGGATCCCACATACAGACCGGTTCCCACTCACTGGCTGAGCGAGGCGCGGGGGCAACACCAAGGGTTGCGATACCGTTGCCGGTCCCGGTCCGGTACGGGGGCGACACTGAGGGTTGCGATCCGTTGCCGGACACGGAAAAAGACAAAAAAAAAAGTAATAAATAAATAAAAAATAAAAATATGTCCAGAATCTGGCCACTTCTCACTACTTCCACTTGGAGCACCACCATCAGTCACCTGGACTATTGCAGTGGCCTCGTCCTCACTGGTCCCCTGCTTCAACCTCACTCCTACAGGCTGTTCTACACTCAGCAGCCAGAGGGACCTGTTAAATCATAAGACAAATCATGTCGTTCTTCTGCTCACAACCTTCTTGTGGCTTCCCCCTCATTCAGAGTCAAAGTCAAAGGTCCTCTCCATGGTCCCTGCCACCTCTGTGACTTCACCTCCCAACGCTGTCCCCCTCACTCTCTGCTCCAGCTGCACTGGCCTCCTCACTGCTCCTCACACATGTCAAGTGCACTCCTGCCTCAGGGCCTTGGCAGTACCTATTCCCTTTGCCTGGATTGCTCTAACCTCAGATATCTGCAAGGCCCACTTCTTCACTTCCTTCAGGGCACCTAGAACATTAAGTTCTCATAGAGGCTTACCTGGACACTTTATTTACAATCCTAGCATCTCTGTCTGTCTCTCTCCTTCCCCACCCTCCTTCCCTGCTTTTTTACTGCAAGGTCCTTACACCATCTGACATATATTTATTTACAGATTTGTTTACTGACAGTTGCTTCTTTTGGGAATCTAACCTCCATGTGGGAAGATATTTTGTGTTTTGTTTATTGCTGTGTCCTCAGTGCCTGGAACAGTGTCTGACATCAGTAGGTGCTCACTAACTATTTGCCGAATGAATTAATCACTGATGAATGATGAATCACTGATCAACCACATGGTGAATGAAGTGCTGGGATAAAGCCTGAGGTAAAGGATGGAATAGAAGCGGGGTGAACAGGGCCCAAGAAACTACCTGGTGATCACTCAGGGTTCTTTGTGAGGTGTGGGGGGCTGACCACTCTCAATTAGAGGAGTCAGAAGGACACTCAAAGTCTGACCTCACACTTTAGTGTTGCCCCAGATATAGGGTCCTACCCGAGTGTGCGTGTATGTGTGTGTGTACCCACTGGAGAGCAAGAATGGGTGCCCAGTCTCTGGTCACCTGCTCAGGCTTAAGGCCCGGGGGCACCCAGGCATATTCCTCTGATGCACAGCCCGAGTCGTCATCGGAGATGGAGTGGCGCTGGAAGTCTGAGATTAGCCGACACATGATGCGTTCCAGGTCCACAGGCACTGAGTGCACTGCGTGCTCCTCCCGTGGGCATTTGCAGTGCTGGCAGATCTTTCTGAGGGGGCCGGGATGGGGGTCAATTACTAAGGGGTTGCCTACCCAGACCCCTGGGCAGCCTAAATCCAACTGAGGGACGGGGACATGCAGATTTTCACTACCAAAGGGCTCTAAGAGGGAAGGGATTCTGGGCCTAGGGGCAGGGCTGACAGGAGGTGGGGCTATGAGCCAAGGTCTGGCTGTGAGCCTGTGAACAGAGAGGTCATGGGTAGTGCGGTGCTGGTTGGGAGGGGCTTGGCTTCCAGCTGAGGGCAGGGCTGTACGACAGGGTCCGAGGGCATGGCTGTGAAATGGTTGTGAGCAGGATGTGAAGGGATGGGGCTGTGGGATCCCAAGGACACCCCCTAACCTTTCAGCTCTGGGACTTGGGTCAGACTCTCCCGGGCAGCAGGCCTGAGTAGGGGCGGGACTCCAAGACTGAGATTGGAGTTATAAATCTAGGGGCTTCCCCCTCAGGAGAGACTCTGGACTTTGTGGGGGAACTTTCCCTAGAGGCAGAGCTCTGGCCTGTGATGAGGCTCTGAACTTGTGGGCAGGAGAGCTCTGAGCCTGTGGATAGGGCCTAAGTGTGCGGCTGTGGGCTGTGTCTGTATGAGACTTTTAGGGTGCAGGCCTCCAGTAACAGGACAGGACACTGGGTCTGGGAGAGGAGTTCTGAGCCTAAGGGTGGGGATGGGCTGGAGGTCAGTGGGCAATGCACAGCACCCAGGACCAAGGATCTCCCTAAGAATGGGACTCAGAGGCTTGGGGAGGTTTATTCTGGGGGTGAGGCTGTGTAGTCGGTGGAGCTGTCCTGGGAAGAGACTCTTGGGAATGAGTCAGGGGCGGGGCTCCGAATCTGAGAGTGAGGCTCTTTTCCCAACTGAGTTCCATCTGTGGGCGGAGCCCAAGCCTAGGGGCATGGCCTAAGCCAGCGGGGAGGTGGGGGGGGGTCCTTTGAGAGTGGGGATCTGACAAAGGTGAGGCTCTTGGGGAGTCACTTACCTCCAGCCGTGCAGCAGAAAGCCGGGGCACTGCTCCCTGCAGGAGTTGCAGGGCTGGCCCCGGTCTGGGTCCTCTGCCTCCGGAGGCTGTAGTGGGGCAGGGGCAGATGCAGGGCCGGGCGAGGCGCGGGAGCAGAGAGGGAGAAGTTAACGCCCGCCCCTCCACTCCAAGGCCTGCAACTGCACGCTGGGGCCTGTCCCACCAGGGCAACGCTGGGCAGGCTGGGACAGCGCCCGGAGCATGGGGGAGGGGGACACAACTGAGGCAGAGGCAGGGCAGCTGAGGCCACCTCCCTATATGCCCCCTTTTCAGGGAATTCCCCTCCCCAGGCCGGCCTCGGACACCTCCCACCAGCCTCTTATCACTAGAGGCTTCAAACACCTCCCCCAGAATTCCAGTACTCTCCCCACCAGAACACATAGTCCCTAATCTGGGCATCTCCTTCCAGGCCTCATCCTTGTCCCTCCTCCACCCACGAGGCCAGCAGCACTCCAATTCCACAGGGTAGGAGACTGAGAACCCATCTTTCTCTGGGGTCCCCACATAAACCCTGCTCTTCCCTTCAGAAGCTCAGGAGCTCCTCCCCCAAACCCTGAGCTTCACCTCCTCATGCCCAAAGAACTAGGGACCCTCCCCCAGGATCTCAGGAGGCCCCTGCTCCATTGAGAAAACTCCACTCCAAGAAACCTTGGCCTTTCTTTATCCCTCATATCCCAGGGATAGTTACTCCTCTGGACTACCAAACTCAGCCTCCACTTTCCCCCATCAGAGGCCCCCTCCAAAGGAAGAGAGAGATCCTCCTGTTTAAGAAGTCAAAAATTCCGTGGCTCAAGTGGAAGCCTGGAGGCCCTGTTTCCCCAATTCCCAGACCCTCCACCCTCAGCGTCCGGCATCCCAGGAATATATGCTCCCATCCCTCAGTCCACCTTCCCCCAAGGTAGGGTGTCCCTTCTCTCAGAAACTCAGGTCTCTGCTCAACCCAAGACCCCAAGACACAATCTTTGGCCCTCAGAATCCCCTCCCCACAGGAGATGGGCGCGCACCAGGTCCCCGGGGTGCTGATAAAGGTGTGCGGAGAGGTGACATGGGCCACCAGATCTACACATGTTTCTTCATCCACACGCCTCCAGCAGCCCCAACCCCTGGGTCTGGGAATGCTGGCGATTGGAATTCCCAGGCCCTCTGTGGGGCACCTCCTCGTTATCCCTATCCCCTGCCCTCTCGCCTGGGCCTCAGTTTACCCCCGACGCCCACCGCTGCCCTGAGTCCCACTCACCGCACGCCCAGAGCGGCGCCTCCGCGACCCGCGCGCGAACATGGCGCTCCCGGGCAGGGTCAAGCCGGGCCGGGTCAGGAGAATGGAATCCTTGCCGGCGTCAGGCCACCGCGCGTCCGGCCTGGGAGCTCTGTTCCGTAAACCTGACACCGGCGTGGGAGGAGCGCGCCCCGCAGCGCCCGCCCCCGGGCCTGTAGTCTCTCGGCAGCCAAGGCGCCCCCTGCCTTGAGGTGAGCTGCACGCAGCCTAGGGCGCCATTCGGGAGAGCCCCTGCCCTCCCACCCTGGGCCGGAGCCGGGTATCAGAAAGCACGGCCACCGGAACCCCAGTGTGCCACGTGGCTTCTCACGGGACATTCTAGGGCTTCAGGGCTCTGTAGTGGATGAAGGGGAACTCGGAGGTGGCAATCTGGTTGGAAGGGGTGGCGCGCTAGGGTGCCTGTATTGACCGTTCGTGTCGATTATCTTGGATGCTCATTTGGGGGAGAGGTTAAAGCCACTTCTTGGCCTCCTCCCCACAGGTGAGGTTCCTGTTTCCCTCGGACGCATGTTGCAAGAATGGTCCCCAAGAGGAGGCCCTCTTTCTCGCTCCCTCCCATCCTTAAAGGCCCAACTGTTGAGCCTCCTAAATTCTGAAAAGTAGATCTTAAAGCCTTCCCTCCCCTGCCCCCATTTTTCTCTCTCCAGTTAGATATCCCCTTCCCTAAACTCAGTTCCAGAGCTGGGAGTCTCTCCTTTGCGCTCTCAGTCTCCGCTTCGCCTCGGGGCTGGGGGGAGGGGTCCCACGCGTGCAGTCACAACTCAGGCACCCGGCCCGGGGTCTTAATTAGCCACGCAGGCGGCAGCGGTCGGTCGAGCCTTTCATCGCGGGCGCCGGGGTCCTCCCCCCACTTCCATTACTCACATCCCTGTCACTTCCCGCCGTCCTTGCCCCAGGGAGGAGCCGGGGATGGGTAAAAAGGGAATGAATAAGTTAATTAACTAAGGAGTCACTCTGGCGCCCCACCTCTGGCCTTGCTGCCTAACCGTTCTCCCGGTTCTCCAGCTGGGGCGGAGGCAAGGAAAAGGAGACAGAAGGGTCTGAAGAATACGGAGGGGGTTGGGTAGGGTGAAGTCTCCTTGTTAAGTATGGGGGTCCTATTCCGACCCCTTGGGGATTTAGGGAGGAGGCTCCACAAAGGCTGGGAAGGGCTTGGTTAAGTGACCAGAATTAGAACCAAACCCTAGAAAGAACTGGGTATTTGGTGGCCAGTAGTGAGACAGCGAAGAGACACTCAGAGCGTGACTTCGAATGATGGCAGGACAGGATTCAGAGGAGATGGCTCGTTCCGACTCTGTGGGAGGGGCCTAAAATGGTGCCGCAACTTGAACGGCGTTCAGCAGGTCGGGGACGGGGTTCCCTCTCGCCTTCTCTCTCATCTCTTCCCACGTCCCCCCCTCAAATAAAAGACATACCGAGAAATCAGAGCCGGGTGGACTAGATGGTTGAGGAGTTTATTTGGGGGAGGGGAATTAGTCATTTGTTCTTCCTTGGGGAGGGGGTCTTCGAACAATACCGAAGGGCGCAGGAAAGGGTGGGGATCTGGAGGGGAGGGAAAGGGGCCACAGCCAGACAAAATGGCAACACACGATCACAGGCACTACCGACATCACAGACACAGCAGAGGGTGCAGGATAGGGGCTCCAGACCGGGTCTCCAACCACCCCAGGATGGGTGGGAGTGTTGAGGGAGGGGGCAGGGGAAGGGGGAAAGAGGGGTGGGCCAGCCCCACAGACCGGTTGGCTCTGTCCTCTGATTACCTAGCTGTCTCATCACGGGGGTGGGCAAGGGTGTGGGGGGTGCTTCTCCCTGGATCTCACCCCTCATCCTCCAAGTCATATCACTCAGCTCTTTCTAGGCCACTTCGGTCCCGTTTTGGCCAGGGTCATTCCCACCCCCACGCCTAACAAAATCCATCCTGCAGTTCCTAATCAAATCCCCCAACACCTACTTCCCAAACCTGTCCTCTTTAGAACATTTTCTTCACTGTCATAGTGAGGGGGGGGTTGCCCCTTCTGAAACAACCCTTACGCCCCACTCTAAGACCCGGCCCGCCTGGAACCCTGGCCAGGACTTCACCCCAAGGTCGGCCCCTTCCTGAATCCCACTTCTTGCCTTGCTCAAGATCTATCCCCTTTAGAATCAAGTTCAGTCTCCTGAATATTCCAAGCCACACCCCTTCCACAGGCTCTGGCCCCTTTCCAAGACCCGCCCACTCTGGAGCCTCACCCACTGCCTGGTTCAGGTCCCACTCTTTCTAGATACCCTCAGCATTCTTTCAAACCCTGTCCCCACGTCCCAAGTCACATCCCTTCCATGGAACCCTGTCCTACTCCAAGCCCCGCCCCTTCCAGATCCACGCCCTCAGCCTAGGTCACCCCTCTCCTTTAGACTCCAGCTCCAGTATGTCTAGAACCCAACCCACTGCTGGCCCCTCCACTCCGGAGCTCCCCTCCAAGACCACCTTGGATCCTAAGTTGTCCTTTCAAACTGCCCTCCCACCCCCCTATCTTTGCCTTTCTCCCATCCTTGGGTTGAATTTTCCCTAATGGTCTCTGTTCAGGCATTTCTGGAGGAACCAAGGCCAGAGTTGAAAGAAGGGGGGGAAATAGGGGACAGAGTCTGAAGTCACGCCCACCCTCCCCACTCAGCAGAGGTCTGTCCCTTCCCTGCCCCCCTTTCAGAGCCCCCTAACCTCAGGGGACAGGGCCGCGGAACAGGGATGCAGGAGAAGGGGTAGGAGTAAGAGAGGGGCCCACTCAAGACTGGGCCCCTAGTGCATGAAGGGAGTGAAGTGAGGGTGGGGCTCAGACAGATAAATAGATATTTATATATAATATATATATATATATATATATATAAACAGCAAAGACAGTTAGGGTCTCCTGGCTTGAGGGGTGGAGACCTAGGGTGTAGGGGTGGGAAGGGGGGGCAGGCTTTCTCTGAGCTCTTGCCCACCCATGGGGTCCTCCCGGGCTGCACTGACCTGTAGAGACAAAAGACACAGAAAGGAGAGGGGGTCCAGACCCAGGCGCCCTCAGTGAGGGGTTGGGATGCTATGCCTTCCCCCTGGCTTTACCCTCTGCCTGGCATGTCTGTTTTTCCTTCTTCCTTCACTCATAGTTCTGAAGTCAGCTTCATCCCAGCTGCTCCTACTGGGAGGTATTCCTGACCTTGCTCCCACTGGGTTAGGTACCAGATTCTCCCAACCAAAAGAAAAAAAGTACATTGTAGCAGGGGAAGACAGACTTCACACAATTAACATGATGCGTACGTGAATTATCTAGTATAACATAAGGTGATAATAAGTGAAAAGGAAAAAATCAAAAAATGGAGTGAGCAAGGTGGAGAGTGGTAGGCGGTGATGTCAGAGGGTAGGTAACGGGGTCACACAGGGCCTTGTGGACAAGGCTGTGAGCACTTCAGCTTTGACTGGATGAAGTGTAAGCCATGGGACAACTTTGAGAAGAGTAAAATGTCTCATGCTATGTTGTTTCCATTATTTACTCACTAAACTGTTTCTTAACATTGAGTGCTCTAAGTGATGTGTGTTGAGAGCATGAATAAGTCATGATCACATTCCCTAGTCTAGTGGAAGAGACAGTCAATAACCACATAAATTAATAAAGAAAAGCACATGGTACTATGAGACAGAAAACAAGATAGGTGACTGAATAAGTGACCAAAAGGATGAAAAGGAGCTGGCCAGGTATAGTTGTCAGTGTGCGTGGGTGTGAAACTCCAGGGGAAAAGCAAGTACAAAGGCTCTGAAGCCGGATTGTGCTTGGCACACTGAGGCGGCCAGTGTGGCTGAAACGGGGCTGGGGAGTGATAGGAGATGAGGCCAGAGAAGGGGGGGCTCAATGTGTAGGGCCTTGTGACCACAGGGAAGACTTCCGCTTTTCATCTGAGTGAAATGGTAGCCATGGCAGAGTTCTGAGCGCAGGAGGGCCGTGGCCTAATTTAGGATTTAACAAAATCCACTGGGATGCTGTGAGTAGAACAGAATGGGAACGGCGGTGGAGACTGTGAAGGGGTCCGGGGGAGATGACAGTGAGAAGTGGGAAGATTATAGATATATTCTGAAGGTAGAGCCAACAGGATTTTTGATGAATTAGATATGGGATGCTTAACAAACTCCCTGCCCTTTCCATCCTGGCTAATCCAGCGCCAGAAACTGCCTCCACCCACGTGTCGCCACTTCCTCGCCCCCCCCCC